TCTTGATCGTACGCCTTCATACTCCACACCATGAAGCTCACTAGAAACACCCTGGCAGTCTAAACTCCAAGCAAATTCGTACGAATTTGGGTCGCAGTCGAAGCTTGTGAGAGACTCGTTCGTAACGGTCCCAACTTCTGCACAAGAAGGCTTTTCAAAGCTTATTAAAGGGGCTGAGGAGATGCTACATGAGAATGTGCTTATGAAGGCCCGCGTACGAGAGCTTGAAGAGCAACTAGCAGAGGTAACAAAAGCGCCGAGGGCGTAAAAGAAAGCGGATTCAGACAGGCGGGACACTAGAATTTGGTGCAGGAGCATCGCAGGCAGCTGAAAGTGCTTCTACTAGTCGTATAATATCAAAGAAAGCGCGTGGTGGGGGTAGTCAAGAAAAGGCCCAGCCAGGTCAACGGCACTGTGGAATCTGTGGGAGAGTGGGCCATAACGCCCGTACGTGCCAAAAAGATGTAGAAGAAGATTCTATGTTAGATGCAAGTGAGTCGTACGAAGCATCTATAGCTAGTGTAGAGTAATTCAAGTTTTCATATGTGATGTTCGCGATGCCAAGAAAAAGTGGCACACTCGGTGGGGTGGCACTCTCGGTGGTGGAATACGTTAGTTACTATATATAGTTAGGTATATAAAATAATACATCAATATACATATACTAATCATACTACTTGAAATTTGATTTTAAAGTATCATATTATTATACTAGACTAGCTTATATAGTTACTAGATATCAACTTTATTAAGTACTTTTAAAAACTTATTACAATATATATACATATATATATATCCAATTTATAGTATTATAATAATAGTATTACTAGGAAATAGTAAAATAGTATTTATAAAGCTTATAAAAAGTAATTATAAAGTATATTAAATTACTATTTAATATTACTAGTTAAGTTTATACTATGATAGTTAACGTACTACACTAGTGAGGCGGCCAAACCAGTGAGCTGGCCACTTTTTCTTGGCACTGCGAACACAACAAAGAATACATTATGTCTTTATAATGTAACGCTATCTTATCGTACAAAGAAGGCAGAATTAACCTTACGCTTTAGGCCTTTACTACTAGCTAACTTAAGACCTTATAATGTATTGTAGTAGCCTATAGCGTATAATATTAGCAGCTCTCTAATTAGCTTTATAGAATTACTAATTAACTTAATACACGACCTAGAGTCTAGAAGCTTACTATAGTAAAGGAACAGACTATTGTATAATATATTGTTGACCTTAACGCGCGAGGATTTGCGCCTTAGCTATGTGAGGTGGTAGATATTGCTAATTAATTGCTAGCTACTTATAGTAGGGTACCTATTAGTAAAAACTAGGCTAAGCGCTTTATTGATTATATAGAGGAGCTTAAGATAGCTTTTAATTAGGCAAAGGACTATTAGAGAGCCCTTTAAGAAGACCTAAAAGTTATCAGCTTATAATTTAAGCTTATACAAGATACAATTAACTAGTTTAGAGTCTATCTAGATAATATCTACAACTTTAATAAGACTAGCTTCTAGATAGGCGTTATTAGCTTAATAAAGGTTATTACTAGTTTAGAACGTTGTATAAGACTAAATCTTATCTAGCTAAGGGACTAGAAGTAGGTAATAGTTATCTAAGGCATCTATGCTACTAGGTATACTATCCTACTATTTATTATCTATAAAAGACGTGTCTATATCTCTATATAGTATAAAAAGCAAGATATCCTATATAATTAGAAAATTTTAGTCCTAGAGAATAGCTAGACTAACAATTAGCTTAGTCTTAAGTAGTTAAAGCACTTTAACGCGCATACAAAGACGCGTTAGAAGTGGTTATATAAGCTGCTAATCTTAGATAGGCATAAAAGCTACCTTAATAAGGATTTCAAGGAATACTATCTTGTATATAAGATCTTTACGCTCTATATGCCCTCTTATTAATTGTATATCCTTTAGCTACTTAATATAGTGTGTTTTTTACTATTAAAATTAAAGTACTTTTAACGCGTATAAGATTTAGCACGCTAACGCGTCTACTATATTAACAAAGAAGGCTTCCTTCTAGCCTTTAAACACGCATTTTTTAACGTGTTTACGTATAATAACTATAAGAAGGCCTTTAAGGCTTTAGGACTTGCCCCTATAAACGCGTAGGTAGTTATAGATCACCTTAAGGTGCAGCTTTATACGCTATTACTAGCACCTCTCCTAGAAACGCCCTAGTAGTTAAGAACACTAAGTAACCTGCTTAAATTTAGATTGTAATTAAGGCTTATAAGAGAATCCTTTATATAATTACTAATAAGTGCTTAAGAAAGCTTCTTAAAGCTTATTAAAGAAGTAGAAGAGATGCTATATAAGAATGTTGTTATTAAAGCTTACGTATAAGAGCTTAAAGAGCAATAAGTAGAGGTTATAAAGCGCGAAGGTCGAAAGCGAAAGCAGATCTAGCATGGCGGGACACTAGAGTATAGTGCAGCAGCATTAACAGTAGCTAAGAGTGCTTCTAGTGGTCGTACGATAGCAAAGAGAGCGCGTGGTAGTGGTAGTTAAGAACTAGCCTAACTAGGTCAACGGCGCTGTGGCAACTATAGTAAGACTAGGCATAACGCTCGTACGTGCTAAAAAGATATAGTAGAAGATTCTAAATCTAATACAAGTGTCTTATATAAAGGATTAGTTTATTGTATTAAGTAATGTAATTATTTGTACATAGTGTTCGCAGTGCCAAGAAAAAGTGGCCGGCTCACTGGTTTGGCCGCCTCACTGGTGTAGTACGTTATATACTTAATTACTTATATAAATTTATTAAACCAAGTACTAGTATTAAAAAATTAATACTATCAACTAGTTTTAAAGAATATTTAGTTTTTATAAATACATAAGTCGTAAAGTAATAATAGTAGAGTTTTAATAAAAGTAAGGTTCTAGCCTAAGAAGGGGAACTTTTTGCCTAGTACTAGTTGAATCTTTGCTCTGTGTAACGGGCTGAACGCCCTTTGGATAGCTCCTCGATGGAATCTCGGTCAAGCAGCAGACGCCAGGTCTTACTCTGCAACCCGGCATCTGTGCGAGGCCTGAGCGGCGCCCAGACGACGCGCTCAGACACTCGGTGCAACCTTTCTCCGACAAGTAAATAAACACCACGCAAGTAGACTCTATAGCTCTCTATCGAATACAACCTCTTGTATACCTCGCGATTGCTCCCTAGAGCGCAGCCCCTTACACTCTGATAGAAAAACACTATAGTAAGGCGGCATAATCTCTATCTCTACTGCATTTTACTGCAAAACTTTTTTTACGATGTTTATTACGCTGTAAATAGAATATAGTGGAAACTAGAGAGGAGAAACAGGGAACAGAAATGGGCGCTGGTGGTCCAGGACCCCCCTGGATGCACATTGTCCGGCTACATTTGCGGCGTGCCGCCATGGCGCAGCAGCGGCTGAAGACAAGGTCGATCATTCGCAACCTTAGCCCAAACTCTCACATAGCATGTCTCAATCACGCGAATGCGGATGCTAATGATATAAGTCCTCACATGTGGGCCGTGAGAACTACAGGGACGTTGGCCGATTTCTGAAAGTGCTGCATCCAGATTATGCCAGCACAGGCGGACAGCGGGGTGAAATTCGACGCCTTGTCTTCTGTTAGTGTGTGCTTGTTGGAGTGCTGCGAGTGCTTGTTCAGCCTGTCGGAATGGGATGAGGTGCGCACGAAGGAACGCGAGAATCCGTGGTGGAATATGCCGCAGCTCCGTTCTAGCGCCAGGCAGCATGGTCTGTCAGGGCTGCATGCGTGTAATGGCAGAGAAGCCCGAGTTCCACCCCGTCAGTTCTACTGCTGTGGACTGATCGGAGGACGAGGAAAATTTCCGATTCGCTCCTGACGGTATGTGTGCAACCCGCCAGAGTACTTCGATACCCTGCCCTGTTGGTTGCGCTGTTCCAAGGCCCAGGTGGTAGGGCGCAGGTTGCACTTCCGCTCAGCCGGGTTTCCCCCCGGGTCTCCTTTACTTAGCTTATTTTGCTCAAACTCGGCACCTCCAGTCGGGTTTCAATCGGGATTGTCGAGCAAGCCTTTTCATCCACCCTTGTCGCCCTTGGAGGATGACCGAAGTATCAGGAGAATATCATAGCAATTACAGCGCATCAATGCCGAAAACGCAGGCCAAGCTGCGAACGAGAATATATGATGCGAATGTCATAGCCAAATAGATCCATATAATGTATGACATAGCCCAAGACTGTCGATTTGGTGCTGCAAAAGTTCGAGAAACAGCAAAAGTCACATTTTGAAAAAAAATACACTAGTTACCGTAAGCATGGGCTCAATCGAATCGCCTCCATCTACTGTACTGGATGTGGTCATCGTCGGTGCTGGCCCTGTCGGCCTGGCACTAGCACTAGATCTGGGAAAACGAGGCATCCACACAACAGTCTTCGAACGCAAGCCAGCCACATCCTCTCAAATCGAAGCCAAAGCAAGCGTCATCAATGAACGTACAATGGAGTATCTTCGTCGCCTTGGCTGCGCGCACGAAGTAGCCGACTCGGGATATCCTCACGACTTACCGGGAGATACGGTATTCTGCACTGCTCTGCACGACAAGTACATCGGAAGATTGGAAATGGCTTCCGCAAATGAGCGGGAGTTACCAGAGCAGAGCACTGAGATGCTTCAGCGGTGTCCTCAGTGTTGGTTTGATCCGATCCTGGCTCGTGCAGTCGTGAGGCAGAAAATGACAGATATGAGATATGGCATGGAGGCCTTTGGGTGCACTCAGGACGAAGAAGTTGTCACGTTAACTGTCAAGAACGTTGGCACAGGAGCTACTGAAGAAGTCAAGACCAAGTACCTGGTGGCTTGCGATGGCCCTGGAAGCACAATCCGCAAATCCTTGAATATTACCTTTCAAGGGAAGGATCTCGGACTCATGCTCAGCTCGATCATCGAGATCGATATCAACAGCAATCCACCATTCGGCAGAGCAGCCGAGCGGTACATGTTTGTTGGTCCTGAGGGCACATGGTCAAACTTTACAACCATAGACGGTGACAGACTCTGGCGCTTCGCTGTTGCAGGAGTGAAGGAGAGGATCGATCCCACCACATTCGACATCAAACCTTACGTGAAAAAGGCCCTCGGCCGCGACGATGTTGAGTTCGAAGTCAAACACGTCCTGCAGTGGCGTCGCAGCCAATTCCTTGCCGACAGGTACAATTCAGGACGAATCTTCCTTGCCGGAGACTCCGCCCACACCATGAGTCCCACAGGAGGGCACGGGTAAGCACACAGTATGCTTCTCTGGACCTTCTCACGACATACTGACACGTGTCGCAGAATGAACACAGGAATGGGGGATGCATCAGACCTTAGTTGGATCCTGCATGCACTGCTCAAGGGCTGGGGAGGCTCCAACCTTATTCAAGCCTACGAAGCAGAGCGTCGGCCCATTGCACTGCGAAATGGCCAGACCTCAACCAAGAATTTCGCTATCTGGCAGACGGGCAAGGAAAAGATATTGGAGGATACACCTGAGGGTGACGATCAGCGACGAATGACGGGCGAAAATATGGCGGGGAATATGCGCCAAGAATTCCAAAGTCTGGGCCTGGCCCTTGGCTACAGCTACGCCGATTCACCTATCGTAGTCGCAGATGGCTCTGCCGCTCCAAAAGACGACCCAGAAGAGTACATCCAGACCGCCCGACCAGGCCATCGTGCACCTCACCTGTGGTTGGAGCACAACCTTTCTATCATTGACTTGTTCGGCGATGGCTTTACCCTTCTGCAATTCGGAGATAAATCCGTGTCCTTTGAAGGGCTCAAAGAAGCTGCAGGTAAAATCGGGTTTCCCTTGCAAGTCAATTTCATCGAGTCGGAGAAAGCCGCTGAGCTGTATGAGCGGAAACTTGTGTTGGTTCGACCTGATGGAATGGTGGCTTGGAGGGGCGATAAGCTGCCAGAGGATGTTAAAGATCTTCTGGATCGCGTTCGTGGCGTTTCTTATTCTTAGTAGCTAGCAAGTAAAGGTCAATGTAGACTACCGGAATGTATGTGAGACCATCTTATGTATTGGACAGGCGATTTACATCCTGTTTGCTGTGCTGCAGCTCTCCGCTGCCGGTGACCTAATTGGGATCAAGCTCAGACAATATATTGGCTCTTTCGTACTACTCTATCAAAGAAGTAGCGCAGCACAAGATACATGATCGATAGCGCACCTTTTCGCTATCCTTCCTTTTTCCTTCTTTCATCCCATCCTTTGCAGAGTTCCATTCTTATCCACGAAGGTTCCTTTTCTGTTTACTTTTGCGAGGCTTTGGCATCATATGTCAATATCGTATTGATACACATGATTCCCATTCTGCAGAGGCTATCTTGGAGTTAGACTTTGAGGCGAAAGCGTTGCTGTTATGAACATCGAGGGCACACGTTTGCAGAAGTATGGTACATGGTATGCGCACTTTCGACTGAAATGGACACCACCTTCTCACGGGATACGCCGAGAACTATTCATCTGTGTCCTGAGTGCAAAGTAAGATACTGAATGGCTACTCAATTACGATATGCTATTCATTGCACCTCCAGTACCGGCAACACAAGTCAGTCGCGAGCACTGTAGTACAATTTAGCAGGTTTGCTATCCTCTGCCAATTCAGGCACGTTATCCCATGCTTTAGGAAGTCCGTCGTAGAATACCCAGCGAGTGGCATTCGCCACCACAAACTCGCCTCCATGACCAATATGTTCTGCCATATTGTCTGCCACCTCTTTTGGCATCTTGGTTCCTCCAGGCTCCATGGACCTCTCGATCGAATCTATCGCCATGTGTGCGATCTTGATAAAGTCGTGCTTGGCGATTGGCAAGTCACAGCAAAGTTCAGGGAAATGTTGCTGCAGACTAAAGAGTGCTCTTATCAATTTGACGGCATGACCTTCATCGCGATATACCACTGCGCGATGAAACAGCTCCGGCCAGCCATCTGTCGGGTTCTTGGGCGAGTAGGTAATTATTCGCTCGGGGTACAGGTCGGGACATCCGCATGCGGCGTACATCACGGCGTCTACCCTTCCCTTAGCTTCAAGGAGCCGCGCCTTCTCTTCCAGCGTTAGCCAGTCCTGGCCAATGATACCAGGATAGTAGCCCGCAAGTGTGACATTATGCAGGAGAACAAAGTCAATTTTCTCCCACTTGCCTGGACGCTGGGCGGCGCCCATTATGTATGCGCCAGTGTGCATCATCTCGCTCAGCTTGCGCTGGATGTCTTCCTCTGTCGGCTCGACTTTGAATTGACTGAGATGACGAGCAAACTGCTCGCCGTTCACTCGCTTCATGAGGCCATCCGCAATCTTGTTGAAGGGGTCGTCGTCTTTGACAGCATTCGCAATAGTAGGATCAGATTGCATTGATTTCGTAATTTGTAAAAGAGACTGCGATTCCGAGCTGACGTTTCTGGACAGGTAATCCTCTGTGGTGAGGAGGAATTCCTTGGGCCAATTCTCGTGCACGCAAGCTGCTGCGAGCGACTCTGCAACGAGACTTGGTTGTTGCCATTCCATTGCGCAACCAAGATGAATCATAGGATGAACGAGATCTGTATGCCATCAGCAGATATCGACAGAGGGTCTCATAGGGACATCCTGACCTGTGTATAGTCTGCAGAAAATGTCGTCTGCGCGGTCGTCGCCTTTCAGCACGTATTCCCTTACAACTGCTTCTGATCCCTTCTTCTTAATTTCTGCCTCGAAATATTTCAGAAAGTCAAGGTAATGGATATCCTTTCCGAGACACTGTTTAAAGACAGCCGCATCTTGCAAATCGAGATCGTCTGGAACGTCCTGATGATCGCGATCGATGGGCGCTTGATAAGGCTCGTTGTAATCCCACATGTCTTTGAGCTCCGTAGGTGATGCCCCGATCGAGAACATTGCAAGCAAGTGATGTGTGATGTGGTTATGGAATCCAGCATTCCTGCGGTACTTGATCAGACAAAGCACGGAAAGGAGGGAACTCGTTCAATGCCCACCATCGTGTGTGGTAGAGATTATGATTGATGGTCAGCAACTCAGATGCTAGCGAAGCACTATCTTCTGTGAGACCTTCAGCGTGCGTGTAGCCAGGGGTATCAGTGACCGAGAGCTTGATCTTGTCCGAAGGTGCTGTGAACATATTGGCAACCGTAGCTTCTATGTGAGGATGTTCATTAGTCGTGAAGTGAATCGATATTCTTGAATGCTATATTGAGTACTGTGACTTGATCGCAAGCGGCAAGAAATATAATAAGCGCTCGATAGTGCACCTCCGAGGCCGATGAAGGGACCGGAAAACGAGCGAAGACCGAAAACCCGATGCATGCCCGACTCGGCAAGCTAGAATGCTTGTGAGTGCGATGTCACCACTGTCTACAACATGCAAACATGCGACTCAGAAGGACTGCACTAGTGCGGTCAAACGGATGTGTGATGCCGTGGGAGTGCACATATCTGCCCGATGAATTGCGTAATGACAAGTGCGAACATGCATGCGTATATTGTAACCTCGTGTCATAGGCTAGGCCCGCGGGATGCACGTACTAATACTGTATCCCGGGATAAGTGTTGTGACAAGTGGATCTTGTTAGCCTTAGTAGCAGCAAGGGAAGAATTCTATCTTATTACTCCTAAAAAACTATTTTTCTTCTCTAAATATTCTAAGTTAACTACATCTTTATAAAACTTGGTTTTTTTTTAAATTATATGTTTTTAAAAAGAAAAGAAGAGATTGAAAGAAAATATAGGTGGCAAAAGTGGCGAAAAGGGGGCCCACTTTTCACAACATTTACCCCGGGATACAGTAGTAGGGACTGTTTGATCAGAGGGCAGGGTCGTCCTTGCTAGAAGGTTAGCCGAGGTCCTAGGTCTCGGCCCCAAGTGTTGTTGTTAGTCATGTGATCACGACGAAAAGTCTACTCCAATGCTCTCAAAGAAGAGATTTCCTCTCTTTACGGAGGTGACTGTCAAAAGTTCTTACTAACAGGGGTGCATTAATTACCGCCAAAAATAGGGCTAAAGCTATATAGATTAGTCCCGCCGCCCCTCTTTATACTTATTACTACCTTTAAGTTTAATAATTCATTAAATATAAAATAGAATACGCTTTATCTAAGCTTAAATTTAGTGTTGAAGTAGCTTATCTTAGTACTATTACTATACTTTTATTTCTTTTACTTAACTTTTTAGTGCGCCTCTTTATATTGTTTTTCTTTTAAGCTATAGCTAGGCTACTTTAATAGCGTTAAGATTAGGTAAATTGCTTGGCTATAAGAGCTACTCTACCTTAGTGTTTTAGTATATAATTCTTTTACTATAGTAGGTATATAAAAGTGCCTTATCTTCATAAATAAAAATATATAGTCTTTTTTTTAGCACTTCTTTATGAAGAGAATTAGCTTTAAAATAAGAACTTAAGTCTAGTAACGCTACTAATTAATGCTACTATAACTAATCTTATAAGCTAGCTTACTTATTTTTCTTACTTATTTCTATTATAGAACTCTACTGAGCTTATTATATAATCTTAGCCTTTTTATACTTATTATAAGCTCTTACGCATCCCTTATAAGAGGCTTTAGAGCCTTATTTAACTTCTTAATTTAGAGAGTACCGTCTCTTTTTCTTTATATAGTCTTAGGCCTTTAGATATAGTAAGGACCTTTATAGTTATATATAAAGTAGCCCTAAAATATAAATTTAGAGTAGCCTTTTAACTACTTTTAAATAACACTTTTCGTAAAGACTTTATTTAGGCGTTACTATATATAACAGCTACTATAATAGTTGTTAAAAATAATAGAAGTCTTATTTAACTAAATAACATTCTTTTGATCTTTAAGTGTTTAATCTTTATGGACAAGATACTGGTTAAGTTTTTTCTATTTTATCTTTATTTTTAACTTAGACTTCTTTATTAGCTTTGTTTTATTATAACTCGCTACTTAAAAAACTCTCTATAACTATAGTAGACAACAAAACGTTATAGCTATAAACACTAAGATCACTAGCAATATTAGTATAGCTCTTCTCTCCTTTATACTGATTACAGTATATATTTTTAAGAGTAGTATAATATATTTCTTCTTATATATAAGAGTAGCTTATACGTAAGGTATCTTTAAAGTACTCTAGAAAGATCTTGATTAGGCGTACGTTAGGCCTAAAGCCTCACTAGTAGGCTCTACTATAAATTAAGTTAATTATACGTAGTAATATGCTTATTATTCTTATAATTTCGCGTATAGATTTGCTACTAAAAGGTAACTTTAATATAATAATAAAAGAGTAAGTTAATATATCTATATTTAGAGCTATAGTAAATTAAAAATACTTAAAAAAATAAGTATATAAGCTATTGCTAGCTTTAAAAAATTAGTATAGGCGCTAAGAATAGTCGGGCTAATAGGCTAGCGGCTTAGCGTGGCGCTAGCAAGAGCTTTTGACAGTCACCTCCGTACTAGTAGGGAGGATAGATATTCGATATAGGCTAGCAGGGTGTTACACGGGGTGGATTGCTGATACTTCTCTAATCTCGTTCCGGGTTAGGGCGAGCGAGCCTTTACGGGATCAGCTCCGTGGGATTTTGCCGTATGTTCTTGGTGGAAAAGAGTTATAGGAGTTAACCAAAGGTTAATTAACAAATCCAATCTATATTACTATAGATTAACAAGTAACAATCTTGTTAAGTAAAGATACTAGTAAGACAGTACAATTTGAGTTGACCACAACGAGAGTAAATAATGAAATCCATCCATCCTTATATCCTCATTGCTTCCAGTCTTGCCATCCTGTCCATCCCATCTTGGCGGGATGGTTGGGATGGCACCGCCATCCCATCGTGTGCTGCCATCCCGGATGGGCAGCCTTGGCGGGATGGCACATCACGTGACCGAGCCCCGCGATGCCCTTCGTTTCCGGTTAGGATCCCAAGTGGTTCCTCAACCAACATACTGTCATCACCAGGGAGGAGATCCTT